ACATTTCTGCCCTTTTCTCTGAAGTTTAGGAAAAAATTTCCCTTATGCCCCTGACTCTGGTATAGGCTTTGAATTTATAGTTTATAGATCTGACTTTATATCTAGTGAGTTTACAGAATGCTTCAATTTTTCATGAACAAAAAATCTTGAAGAAAGGGCAGTTCACTTAGGAAGTTGATAGAGCTCCCAGAACATGCTAGAGAGAGACCCCAAGTGGGCAATGTTGTAGGGCCTCTGGATATCAATTAAACAAACTAACTGGGACTAGACAGAGATGGCTCGGTGATTAAGAGTACTTGCTGTTCTTGTAGAGGACCTGAGTTCAATCCTGGCACTCATATCTGGCAGCTTACAACTCTGAGAGCACCGGCATGTAGATGCACATTCGCACGCATGCACACAAAATGAATCTTTAAAACAAAAAAGCATGCAACTGTAGATGCTGCAAGTTAATTGCACAGCATGGTGGTGTTTGCCAGTATTGCACTCTGACACCAACTACACCTTATCCCAAGATCTAATCCAAGACCCAACAGCAGACTTGTAGCTGAGGCTCTAGTTACTTGAAGCAAACACCTCAATATGGTGATCTGGCACAAAGACGTCCTTATTTGCAAATTCTGGGATAGCAATAGGAGCCCAGGGGGCCAGCAGGAACCCAAGGAACCAGGAGTGCCTGAACAAAAGGTACCTGGAGCTGGGGTCCAGTGAATGCCTTTTGGTGGGGAAATATCATGGCAGGTCCTAGAATTGGTCTCAGTGTTACCTTTAAAACTGGCTAAGGGTGGCACAGCTGTGACCCAAAGGCTGAGATGAAAAGAACTAGTGAATCAATGGCCTAGGCAGTAAAAACAATGTAATATGAAGTCTAAAATAGGTCTTTTAATAAAAAAAAAGAACCCAGAGCCAGATATTGGTGTAAATGTTGAACGATCAGAGAGACAAAGGAACATACCACAGCCACGTCTCACCTTGCCAACTCCATGAACCCTCTGAATGTCTCTGAAGCTCTCCAGCCGAAAAGCCTTTAGTTCCTGTCTCCTCGCGCCTTATATACCTTTCTCCCCCCAGCTGTATTACTTACTTCCTAGTACTGGGATTAAAGGCATGTGCCTCACTGCCTGGCTCTGTTTCTCTCATAGACTGAGTCAATCTCATGTAGTCCAGGGTGGCTTTCAACTCGCAGAGATCCAGATGGATCTCTGCCTCCTGAGGATTAAAGGTGTGTGCCACTAGTGCCTGGCTTCTATGTTTAATCTAGTGGCTTGTTCTGTTCTCTGATCTTAAGGCAAATTTTATTAGAGTACACAATATATCACCAAAGAGAAATCCCGTCATCCCTAACTGTTCTTAGGAGAAGGGAAATCATGATTATCTCAATGAATTCAGAATGATCGGGCTCAGGGTGGGTGGTCATTCTGCGGGGCAGAGGCCAACGTCATCTGTAGAATGTGAGTACTCAAAATGATTGGTTCTCAGAGTCAGGTTTCTAGGGTGACTCTGACTTGATTGGCTGGCTCCTGAGTGAAGGCTGATGATTACTGGCTTGTTTATAAGCATGTGCTCTGGGAACTGCATTGTCCTTGATCAGAGGAAGAGGTTTAGATAACCAGCAAGCCTCCTTGTTACCATAGCTACAGCACAAGCAGTCTGTCCCTGAGTCACCACCATGGAGAGCCTTCTTCTAATCTGGGAATCTGTTTCTTGAGTGTTCTGGCAGGTCCAGGTGACCTGTCTTGCAAATCAACTGAACCCACCCTTTAGAGCTGAAAGTCTCTGTCCCCCAACTTCAGCACCACAAAGCAGTGGAAAGAGCATGCTAGATTTGCAGTAAAATCATAAACAATTATTTAGCATATCAATATTTTTAAAAACAAAACAAACAAACAAAACCCAAGAGCTTTGGCAAGTGGTACTTGTCCCCAAATAACTCAGTTTTGAAAGACAAAAGGCTGGTAAAGCTGGAAATTTTCTTTGAGTCTGAAATTGTGCAGCACCTTTTCTAAGTGTGTGTCAGAGTTGAGAGGATCTGGCTTGACTGCTCACTCTGTGTTAGCCTCATTCTCTCTTCCTGAGATCTGCTAATGAGTGCGCTAAACTCTTACGGCAATTGGTACAGGTCATTCTACAGACCCAGTTAAGTGCTTCATTGTAGCCATTGATTGGCAGAGAGCAGACAGCCAAGGTCTGGAAGGCAGGGTGAGCACACAAACCTGGAAACAAGAGAAAGTGGAAACTCTTCAAACAGCCAGGATCTCCTACCAATGAACCTGACAGCTCCGTGGACAGTGATTTCAATCATTGAGCTCACTTGTGGGGGACAGGGGAGGTGCTGGTGTTGAACACAGCACCAGAACATGGCCTGGGAGAAGGATCCATGTTTCACATGGAAGTGTGTCCTGGTTAGTTGACATCACCTGGAGTGACCTGGGGAGAGGGAACCTCAACTGAGACACTGCCCAAATCAGATTGCCCTGTGGCCATGTCTGTGAGAGAGGGTCTTGACTGAAGAGTGATGTGGGAGGGTCCAGCCCACCGTGGGCAGCACCACGCCTAGGAAGGTGAGCATGGGCTGTGTGGGAAAGCTAGCTGAGCATGAGCCTGTGAGTCAGCAATCAGCACTCCTCTGTGGTTTCTGCTTTAGCTGCTGCTTAGGTCCTACCTTGACTTTCTCACTAATGAAGAGTGACCTGGAAGTGTAAACTGAAATCAACCCTTTCCTCTCCGAGTTGCTTTGGGTCATAGTGTTTAGCACAGCAACCGAAGGAAAACAGAATTTGGGGTGGGGGTGTGCTTTTCTGAGAAATATGGAGCTCTGTTACTAAACTCTGAAGAATTCCTGATGCAAAAACATGCCCCAGTGTTTCCATGTCTCCAGCACCCCTAGTATCACAGCACCCCATGTTTTCAGTGTCCCCACTGTTGCTATTACCCTCAGGTTGCCAGAAGTCCTGTGGCCACCAGCAATGCTCAGTTTGGCCCATGAAAATTAAAAGGAGTGATGAAGACCTCCTGAGGGAGGAAGAGTCAGAGGGAGGACCTCCTGGGAGTCCTGGGGGAGTCTGCTCTCTCCTTCTATCATGAAGTCTACGGTGATAGAACTCAGGTCATCAGGCTTGGCGGCAAGCACCTTTACCCACTGAGCCCCCATACCTGCTGTCTTAGTGAGGGTTTCTATTGCTGTGAAGAGACACCATGACCACAGCAACTCCTATAAAGGAAAACATTGAATTGGGTGGCTTATAGTTTCAGAGGTTTAGTCCATTATCATCATGGCGGGACATGGCGGTGTGCAGGCAGACATGGTGCTGGAGAAGAAGCTGAGAGTAGATAAGGAGCTACACCTTGATCCTGTAGGTAACAGGAAGTGCTCTGAGTGTCACACTGAGTGAAGCTTGAGCAAAGGAAACCTCAAAGCCCACCCCAACAGTGGGTCCTCTCTAATGCTGGGCAGCAACAGTAAGCCAACACCAGCTAGCCTCCAGATGGCAAAGGAAAATCACTGACCTCCACAGGGTGCCATGTAGCTGGCTGGGTTAGGGTACCTGGTATGAGAGATATGGTAAATGAATTTTCAGTCTTCACTATTTTGTTTATAATGAGCTCATTAGGATATATATATATAATATATATATATATATAATACACACACACACACACACACACACACTTTTTTTTGCCATTAAATTACCTTACAGAAGCAAATCAAGGGAAGGCTCTGCATTGGCTCATGGTCTGGGGGTGCAATCTATCAGGGCAGGGGGGTCATGGTGTCAGGAGCCTGAGGTAGCTGCTCACACTGTCTGTGCAGCTGGGAAGCAGAACAAGGCTGATGATGGTGCTCAGCTCACTCTGTCCTTTTATTTAGTCTGGGACCCCAGCCTATGGGATGGTGCCACCCACACTGAGGGTGTGTCTTCCCTCACAGACAAGCCTAGAAGTTAGCCTCCCGGGTGATTCGGACTCCACCCAGTTTGTGATCCTGTCTTCTGTGTCTTTGCCACCAAATCCACATGCCTCATGCTCTAGTTTCAGTTATGTTGCTGTGAGAAAGCACTCGGACCAAAAGCAACTTGGGAGAGGGGAGTTTCTATTTGAGCCTGTAACGCCAGACCACAGTCCATCATTGAGGGAAGTCAAGGCAGGAGCTTGAAGGCAGGCCTGCGTCCTAGCCCACACAGCATCACCTCTAACTGAGGAACACACTGCACAGCCCAAGAAGGACAGCAGGAGACATGGAGGATGCTTCTTGCTGGCTGGCTTGTAAGATGGCTTAGTCCAGTGGTTCTCAACTGTCCTAGTGCTGCGACCCTCTAGGACAGTTCCTCATGTTGTGGTGACCCCAACCATCAAATTATTTTCATTGCTACTTCATAACTGTAATTTTACTACTGTTATCCACCGTAATGTAAATATTTTTGGAGATAGAGGCTTGCCAAAGGGGTCACGACCCACAGGTTGAGAACTGCTGGTTGAAACTCAGCTGGTTTTATTATTATACCATTCAGGATGACTTGCCTAGGGATGATACTGCCCATAGTGGGCTGGGCAAACACAGACACAGACACACACACACACACACACACACACACACACACACACACACAGAGAGAGAGAGAGAGAGCCCACAGGCCCATCTGATCTAGGCAATTTCTCAGATGATTCTGCCCTATGCCAAGCTGACAAGTTGACAGCTAAAGCTAATCAAGACACCCCACATTCTGCTTATTTTTGCTGCCCCTTTAGCTGATGAGATAACCACAAACTCACTTGCATTGAACTCTGTGTTGCAGCATCCTCCCTTTTCTAAGATGCAGACCCCCTGACGCAGCCATTGCACTACTCTGCCCCTAGTTTATGGAATCCTCCACCTAAACTCCAACACTTCCTTTGGAGCAGCTTGTGGGGCTTAGGCCCACCCGTACCTGGGTTCAGCTTGACCACCACCTGGCGGGTTTGAAGAGTCTGTTCCTTACAAAGTGTCTGTTTGTACTTTGCAGGTGAAGGATGCTACTCAGCAGCCCCAGATGGTGTTCACAGTCCGCCATGCCACCGTTACCTTCCAGACAGAAGGGGACACGTGGCGGGAGCAGAAGGAGCAGAGGGCGGCCCTCATGGTGGGCATCCTCATCGGGGTATTTGTGCTCTGCTGGTTTCCTTTCTTTGTCACAGAGCTCATCGGTCCCCTGTGCTCCTGGGACATCCCTGCCATCTGGAAGAGCATCTTCCTGTGGTTGGGCTATTCCAACTCCTTCTTCAACCCGCTCATCTACACAGCCTTCAACAGGAGCTACAGCAGTGCTTTCAAGGTCTTCTTCTCTAAGCAACAGTGAGGGGCCATCTGGGAGTGCCTTCTTCCCGTAGCTCAGTGGACTGCCCTGTCCCATGAACCTTTGCAGTCTGCCCAGCAGTGCTGAGGACAAGATCCGTCTGCCAAGGGCACCAGGGTCACATCGGAGCTCAGCTCGCTTCACGTCTGTGCTCATGGGTTGGGAGTTGTCTTCTCCTGAAGGCTCTGGTGGCTTATGCCCCCAATTTGGGGACTCTCCCTCACTCTGTACCAGCAGCCACGGACCTGGCCCACAAAGTGCCCATTCCTCCTCTAAATTCACTCTAGCATGGCCAGGAGAAAAGTTGGCCAGAGCAGACAGGAGGGAGGAGAGAGGGAGTGAACCAGCAGGTAGAGAGAGGCAGAAAGAATGACAAGACCTAGAGCTGCCGGCGATCACACACACCTGTAAACCCAGCACTCAGGAGACTAAGGCAGGGCGATCTCAAATTTGAAGCCAGCTTGGGCTACATAATGGGTTCAAAACCAGCTTGGGCTATCTAAGGACAACAACAAAATACTCCGGTGAGGCTGTTGGCAGAGCAGCAGACCATACGGCCAAACTTCTCTGAGTAGCTAGTCATCATGTCAGACTTCTGCTCTGTGGTCCTAGAGTGTATACCCTAATACTTCTGAGTCCTTCCTGATATCTGACCACAAAATTCTGTCCCTAAACATAGCAAAGCCCAGTCCCACTTGTGAGGACAGTGATTGTTGTCTTTACTGTTTTGTTCATGATAAACACACACACACACACACACACACACACACACACACACACACACGCACGCACACGCACACACATACTGCAGAAAAGGACAGTTTCCAGTTAAAATCAACTCAGTCCATCATCTTGGAACTGGAAAAATGAAATATTTCCTTCCATTCTGAAACAACTGTTCACGAAAAAATAGAAAAAAAACTACTAATGTCACAGAATTTGTCAAAATTATTTATTTGCTGTGGGTTTTTCTTTGTGTAATTCCTTCAAATGTTTCTGGCCTTAGTGTTTCATCATCCCTGGATAAATAAGACTCCAGATTATTAATAGCTATGAACTGTTGACTTCTCAATACAGTTTCACAGTTGGTGACCACAAGGGTCTGTTTGTCCATCAGTAACATTCAGTAATAGGAGTGCTGGTCACTTTGCTGTTGTGGTTTTGTTGGTATATGAACCTGACCAATAGGCTGTAAGATTGGCAAACAAAGGTCACTTATGGCCTCTCTCAAGTTGGCAGTGTAACTGGCGAGTCTGGTAAAGACAGAGTGTTTACACGGTCACAGAAAACCTTGGCTGCACCCACACCTCCAAAGGCAGCCCGAGGGAGCTCTGAGAGCCTTAGCAAAACAGCTAAAGTGATAAACGGAACCCCGCCGTGCGTGCTGACTTTTCCCGCACACTGAGGGTGGAGGCATCAGAACCCACGGAGCTGTGGACCCCTCTCAGCACTTGGTTCTCAGCAAAATCCTGAGTGAGCAAAAGCACCCGTGCTTTAGGTCACAGCAGTGAGAAACATGCTGCCTTTACAGCCGTGGAGGGGCTGTTTCCTGAAGAATCCTCATCCAGGGTGTGGACCCTCAGAGCTGGCCGGGTGATGATGCCGGTGCAGAGAGCTGGTGTGTTTCTTCAGTTGACTGGAAGGGCAACAGCTCCATCCTTAAGACTTTTGGGGCTTGTTTGTTTTTTTTTGTTTGTTTGTTTGTTTTTGTTTTTGTTTTTGTTTTTGTTTTGTTTTGTTTTTGAGACAGGGTTTCTCTGTGTAACAGCTCTGGCTATCCTAGAACTCACTTTGTAGATCTGGCTGACTTCAAACTTGGAGAAATCCACCTTCCTCTGCCTCCTGAGTGCTGGGATTAAAGGCGTGCACTACCACCGCCTGGCTAAGAGTTTTTAAGTATTCATTTAGGTTTAAGACAGGGCCTCACTAAGTAGTCTTGGCTGTCCTGGAACCTACTCTATAGACTAGACTGATCTTAAACTCACAGAGAGCTACCTGCTTCTGCCTTTGCTGAAAAGGTGTGTACTATCATACCTGAATTTTTTAAATACAAAAATTCCCAATACTCTGGGGCCCATTTTCTGGGAGCAGCGGCCTGAACCAGTCACACATCCTACACTAAAGGACTGGGTCTAAGCCAGGCTGGAAATCGAACAGAATGGCTCACATATCCATGACTGTTCTCATAACCAGGGTTTGCTAAGTGTTTGAACAAAAGCTTCGCTTTTTGTTGTTTTTTTGTTTTCTGGCTTTAGTCAGATATAAGAAGTTTTTTGTTTTTGTTTGTTTTTTTGAGTCTGAGTCCTATGAAAACGATGCACATAGAATGTTCTAAACTGTGCAAATTCTGCACTGTGTCCTTCACTGTCCCCCTCAGCCTTTAGATGGAGGAAAGGAGGAGTGTGCTAGTTTCTCTCCACTTCTCTGTAGCTGCATGTGTAAAGATATCTAGCCACTAGCGACCGCCCACTCAGCTGCATGCTGAGATCCCGACAGTCACTTTAGCCCATGCTACCACCCGAAGGCTTCTGACTGCCACCACTTTTATCACCACACGGGGCAGCTTTGCCCATAGCACCTCAATTTAAGACAAACCTCTTACTCATCATTCAAAACGTCTACAAACTCTTGGGCAATAAAACTCCATTATATTCCATGTCCCGGATTCCTCAAGTGCACAAATTAAAACTGTGTATTGTAACATGAACGTACAGGCATATTATACTGTATATAATAAATTATACCCATCAACATTCCAAAATAGAAAATTTGTGATAATTTCTTTGTGGCTTTGACATGAAGTTATCTTGGATTTCCTGCAAAGACAACCTTTATACGAGAGCGTGAACGGATCTAGGGTGTTAGACAGCCAGCAGCGTGACTGTACACATGCTGAATGTGGAGTCCTGTCTGTACGAAAGCAATGCAATGGAGAACTTAACTGGGATCTCCTTGGATTTTTTCCTTACTTCTGTATATATCTTACTTGGCATACTAGACCCATAAATAGTTTAAAATACAGACTTACTTACTTCCTTATTTTCTCTGTCCCCAAGATCACCTGGAACCACGGGGATCACTGGGCATTATTGCTTTTCATTGTTATAATGGGAGATGTGTCTGTTGAGTGCCCACAAGTAAAGGAATGGGCACAGCATGTGGAATCCAGTGCAAACTGTACCATGTCTGTCTATTTGAGATTCCCGGTGGGATTTCTCATTCAGTCCCAAATTTCAATATTTATCTTACTGGTTTTTCTTAAAGGTTTATTTGAAGCTGGAGAGATGGCTCAGTGGTTAAGAGCACATACTACACTTGCAAATCACCTGAATTCTATTCCTAGCACCCACATCAGGTGACTCACAACCACATGTAACTCCATCTCTATGGGATCTGATACCTCCAGCCTGAGCAGGCACCTGTACACATACACACATGTGCTAACCTAATTTTCAAAACAATAAATATAATGATTTTTTAACCTTTAATTTTTATTTTATTTGTATGATTGTCTACTATGTGGATGCAGTGCCTGAGTAAGCCAGAAGAGGGGACCAAATCTCCTGGGACTAGAGTTACAGATGGCTGTAAGCCACCATGTGGGTATTGGGAACTGAACTCAGGTCCTCTGGAAGAGGAGCTAGTACTCTTAACCACTGAGCCATCTCCAGCCCCAATATTTTTTTTAAGGTTCATTTCTTTTAAACCTTTCAATAAGACTGAGGAAGAGGTGAGATCTGAGTGACCCTCACTGCCCAATGATTCTATATACTCTAGTTAGAAGATGATATGATCAAATTACCTGAATCTCTAACTGAGGCTATTATTAGTCTCTTCATAAGATGAACTTGTACATTATCATTTAGATGTACTTAGCATCTCCCAGACAACACTTAAATCTTCAAATGTTACCTAGGGCATGAAGCACACAGTACACAAGGAGTAAATAGCAATTAATTATTGTGCTTTCATCTCAATGCAAGGATGTATTGACAAACACATCACAAGGTGCATATGTTGATTTGTGTCTCTAGTACGCAATTCAAATATTTGTGGAATGCTTCCCATTACTCTTCTAAAATATTTTTTAAATTATGTGTGTATGTGTGTGGGCTTGTGCATGTGAGTGCAGGTGCCTATGATGACCAGAGGCAACAGACCCCTTGAGGCTGGAGTTACAGACAATGGTGAGCTGCCTGATGTGGGTGCTGGAAACTGAACCCAGGTCCTCTGCAAGAGCAACAAGTGCTCTTAACCACTGAGCATCTCTCCACCCTGTTTCCATTGCTCTTGAAGGCTAGTATGTGGTAGGGTTAGTGGTCCATGAAAGTCACAGCTGAAGTCAGTCACTAGGAAACCAGTGCCCATTCCTTGGGCCCATACTGTCAGGACCACTTTTCTCAGACAGGCTTGAGGAGGCTCAAGATTCCCTGTAGGTCCTCTTGAGGGTGAGTAGGAGCATGCTTACAGAACCGAGAAAGAAGTCACAGCTCCGCTGTCCCATAACAGATAACACACTAAGGGGATGCTCTCCTGTGATGGATGACCTGAGTCTCTCTGGGTCATCTGAAGGCTTGTATTTTCCAGGTACAGTAGTGACAGGTAAGAAGATATTGCTGGGTCTATCAGAACTGGGATCATTCGGTGGACTTTAAAAATATTTGCTTTATTTGTGTGTGTGTGTGTGTGTGTGTGTGTGTGTGTGTGTGTGTGTGTGTGTGTGTGTGTGACATGTGTACAGCACCCAGGAAGGCCAGAAGAAGGCATTGGATCTCCTGGAGCTGACTTAGGGGTGGTTCTGAGCCAGCTGATGTGAGCGCTGGGCTCTAAACTCAGGTCTATCGACAGAGCAGTATGTGCTCTTACCTGCTGGGCCATTTATCCAGCTCCAGACTTACCCTTGAGATGAACTTGGGATGTGTCGTTTATTCCTAGAGGAGCACTTTAGTTTCTGTGTGGATTCTGTTGAGATCATGATACTGTCCTCACACAAGGAAGTGTAAGTACCACACCAGGCCAGCCACACAGAGACAACATGGGGTAGGAATGTGGGGGAAAATGAGGTGTTGTCCCGAAGTCTGTTCCATACTAGGCAGCGGAGTCCCTGCTGTTCTTCCTTACAAGCCTCTACCTGATGCACAGGGCAGTTCCTGTGATGTCTGTCTGTCTTCCTACATCTACAGGGCAACTACTCAGGACCTGCAACTTCCTGTCTTCACTGTGCACATGAGGCACCAGAGATGAGGGCACAGCCATGATGGGTGGATCGAGTGAATCCACTAAGAAATGTGAATCTCAGCTACTGTTTCCAGCCATCTTCCTAAGGAGAAAATGGCTCCCTTCCCAAGGTGGATGAAGATTCTTGAGATACACTTGGTTGGGTGCCTCTAGTGTACCAATGGCACCGTGCCCCCTTCACATCATTTTTTGAAGCCTTGGACTAAGATTCCCCCTTAGCTTCTGCACGTGATGCTCACTCTAGAGACCAAAGTCAAAAGGGTACTTGCTGCTCTTCCATGCATGGCTCGGGTGTGGCTGCAGCTCAGACCAGAAGACACACTTTCTGCCTGAGAAGCCCCAAGGCTGCAGAAGGAAGAGGGAGGGTTGTGAGCAGCTGCCTTTTGGAAGGTCTCACCCCTGGCTCCTTCAGGACACATTAGCTGAGCTCCCCTCATGGCCATAGACCTCTGAGCTCCTAAAGGGAACACTCCTCCACTGTTGGTGGAAATCCAAACTTGTACAATCACTGTGGAAATCAGTATGGCGGTTTCTCAGAAAATTGGGAATCGATCTACCTCAACACCCAACCACTCTTGGGCATATACCCAAGGAATGCTCAATCATACCACAAAGATACATGCTCAACCATGTTCATAGCAGCATTATTCATAATAGCCAGAACCTGGAAACAACCTAGATGCCCATCAACTGAAGAATGGATTAAGAAAATGTGGTACATATACACAATGGAGTACTACTCAGCAGAGAAAAACAATGACAGCATGAAATTTGCAGACAAATAGATGAACTAGAAAATATCATCCTGAGTGAGGTAACCCAAACCCAGAAGGACAAACATGGTATGTACTCACTCATAAGTGGATTCTAGATATAAAGCAAAGAATAATCAGACTGCAATTCACAGGTCCAGGGAGGCTACCTAGCAGGGAGGACCCTAGGATGACTGTGGCTTATAATAAGTTTTGGTTTTACACAATTACTGAGCAAACCTCAATCAAACATTTCACTATTAAGATAAGAATTTATACTGTATCAAGCTGATAATAGAAAAACAAACAAACAAACAAATAAATAAATATGGGAAAAGAAAAAACAAAACAAAAAAACAACAAACAACAACAACCAAAAAAGCCCTCTGAGCTCCTATAACTCAGTAATTTCTAAGCTTCCTGGTTTCCCTCCATGGGGAGGTGGTGGCTGCTTCCTTAGGTACCAGTTCCATGCCAGGGCCAGGTGTTCTGTATGAACTTGGGAACTGATCCCAGAAAGCACAACAGAGGAGGGAAGCCAGCCTGTGGTGGTGTACTCCAGCAGGCACCAGAAAAGAGCTGCAGACCTCTGGGGACCTCAGCAGTGACTCATCATGGACAAGGGATTTGGGACAGTTGTACAGGAATCTGCTGATGCCCTCTAGAGTGTTTAACTTCTGACATGTCCAGAACTGGCCAAAAGGTTCCCTCCCCCAGTGTAGTGAAAGACACAGAACTCACAAACAGAGGCCATTGTGTGGAAATGGGCTATCCACTCAATAAGCCAAGGGGTGTGGGTGGGGAGATGGTCCATCCAATACTGGAACCTCTCACCACAGCTTCCTGGAGGCTATAGGACAGTTTGTCTCCATCCAAACAAGCTTGTACAGGACTTTTGCCAACTCCTAGTGTTAACTCTGCAGGGCAAGAGTAAGACCACTGCCACAATTTTAAGCCAAATTTGAAGCGAGCTTTAATTAACCACTGGCCAGTGTAGGCTGACTTTTCTGTCCTGCCAGCCAGCTCCCAAATAATTACAGAGAGACTGCTTATTAATTATGAAACCTTGGCCGTAGCTTAGGTTTGCTTCTAGCTAGCTCTTACAAGTTAAATTAACCCACTTCTATTCATCTATGTGCTGCCCTGAGGCTCGTTTACCTCATCTATGTATTGCCCATCCTTCTCACTCTGTGTCTGGTGGTGTCTCCTCATGGCTCCACCCTTCTTCTTCCCAGTGTTCTCTCTACCCCTAGAATCCTGCCTAGCTTTTGGCAGGTCAGCTTTTTATTAAACCAATCAGAGTGACACATATTCACAGTGTACAAAATTCCACAACAGGCCAGGATGATGGGACTGTGGCCAGGTCCCTTCCTGGGTTCCCAGAAAATGGCAATGAGTCACATTTTGCAGAGGCTTAAAAAGGCAGCCCCATAAGGCCACCGTATTTTCCATCAGGTCCAATCAGGAGCGAGCATATATCCTGATATATTTCCTGTCTGCGTACCTCACACCTACAGGTGATCAAGCACATCGGGTGTAGTTGGGTCAAACAAACTTGTTTAGGGGAGTGAAAACTTGTGGCTTGTTATCTCCCATAAACAACAGCCTCCAGCATTTCAATAACCATCTGTCCTTGGGCAAGGGGCTTACAGGTTAGAGGCATTTTGTTTCATGGATCTCTTAGGCACAGTAATTAAAATTAAATTAACTAAAATTAAAACACTGTTGGCTCCCACACTAGAACCACTTACCGAAAGTACTTTTAGCTTCTCTGCAGCAGTGGTAAGTGTTCCTGCTTTCTGGTATAAACCCCATGGGAAAGGAGAGCAATCAGGACTTGAGGTGTTTTTTGTTGTTGTTGTTGTTATTGTTTTGTTTTTCTTCTGGTGAGAACTTGCTACTTTGGGGAGTGTGCTGGATAATTTTAACTGTTAATTGACAACCTAGAACCACCTGAGCATAGAGTTTCTCTCTCTTTTTTTTCATTTCTAGACAGGTTCTCACTTCCTCGTTGGCCTGAACCTTGCTATGTAGACAAGACTGTCCTCAAACTCAGAGAGATGCATCCACCTACTCTTCCCTTCTGATTGCAGGTCTAAAAGCATGTGCCACTATGCCCCAGGCATTGAAAGAGTTTCAATGGAAGAGTTATCTAGATCAAGGTGGCCTGTGGGGGAGTGTTCTGATTGTCTATGGACGTAATGAGCCACCCTGAATGTAGGTGGCTCCATTTTATGGGCTGGGTCCTGGACTGCTTAAGAGTGAAGAAAGCTGAGCACAGCTTAGGCAAACAAGGATCCTGCTCTTCACTCTCTGCTCTCCACTGTGTCTGTGGTGCCTGGGGTTCCTGCCTTGACCTCCCTGAGATGGTGGACTGTAACCTGGAACTGGAAGCAGAATAAACCCATTTTTTGTCAGGACATATCACACTCACGGAAGCTCACAGAAATGAAGCCAGGACAGGAAGTCGTCAGCCTCTTCCACTCTTCAC